TTTATTTTAAAACTTTCAAGCTGGTTATTTTCTCATAAATAAAGCATGCTATCAAAAATCCTCCTGGTTCTACTGGCATTCTGGTTAATTACAACATTCATTTTATATATATATATATATATATATTCATTTGATCTGTTTTTAATATCCAATCCCCTGACACTGAAACTTCTTATTCAAATAAGTCCTAAGTATAATTGTATTTCTACACATTAGCAATGAACATAAAACATTTCCATTTAGAATAGCATCAAGAAATATATATTTAGGAATAAATTTAGCAAAAGAAGTGCAAGCTTTGTACTCTGAAAACTACAGAACATTGTTGAAAGAAATTAAAGAGACCTAATAACTGGAAAGACATTTCATTGTTCATGGATTAGAAGATTTAATATTGTCAAGGTGATGACAGATGCTCCCCATATTGATGTACAGATTAAGCCAATACCTATCAAAATCATAGCTGTCTTTTTTGCAGAAATTGACAAGCCAGTCTTAAAATTTATGTGGAAATGCAAAGGATGCAGAATATCCAAAATAACCTTGAAAAACAACACAGCTGGGAGATTTACATGTTCTGATTTCAAAACTTACTACAAAGCTACAATATCCAAGACAGAGTGCTACTTGCATGAAGATGCACAAATAGATCAAGGGAATCAAATTGAGAATCCAGGAATAAATACCTACATTTATGACCAATTGATTTTTGAAAAGGATGGCAAGACATAGACAGAGACGAGCCTTTTCAATAAATGGTGCTGGGATGATTGGATAAGAATGATTCATGCAAAAGAATGAAGGTGGACCCCTGCCTCATATCATATACAAAAATGAGCTAAAAATGAATCATAGGCTTAAGTATAAGGTCTAAAATTATAAAACTCTTAGGCAAAAACACAGGAGTAAATTTTTATAATCTTGGGTTAGAAAATGGTTTTCTAGATATGGCACGAAAACACAAGTGATAAAAGATAGATAAATCCAATTTCATAAAAATTAAAAACATTTATGCTTCAAAAGACACTTTCAAGAAAATGGAAAGACAAACCATAGCATAGAGGAAAAACATTTGAAAATATATATCTGATTAAGTAACTTATACCCAGATTATTTAAACAGCTCTTACAGGCCTGTCACAGTGGCTCATGCCTGTAGACTCAGCATTTTGGGAGACAGAAATCGGAAGATCACTTGAGGCCAGGAGCTTGAGACCAGCCTGGGCAACATGGCAAGCTCCTGTTTCTACAAAAAAAACCACCTTTTTAAAAAAATTACCCAGGTGTGGTGGTATGTGCCTGTAGTGCTAGCTACTTGGGAGGCTGAGGCAGGAGAATTGCCTGAGCCCTGGAGTTAGAGGATACAGTGAACCATGACCATGCCACTGTGCTGAAGGCTGGGTGACTGAGTGAGACCCTGTATTTAAAGAAATAATAATAATTTTTAAAAAAAGAAGGAAGGAAGGAAGGAAGGTAAGGAAGGAAGGAGCTTACAACTCAAAAATAAAAAGAAAATAAAGCAATTAAAAAATGGCCAAAGGAGCTGAGTAAACTTTCTCCAAAGAAGATATACTAATGGCTGACAAGCACATGAAAAATATATTCAACATCATTAGCCATCAGGCAAATGCAAATCAAACCACAATGATATACCATTTCATGCACACCAGGATGGCTAGATAGATAAAAAGACAGATAATAAGTATTGGTGAGGATGTAGAGAAATTGGAATCCTCATACACCGCTGGTAGTAATGTAAAATGGTGCACCCACTTTAGAAAACAGTTTCTCAGTTCCTCAAGTGTTAAACCTAGAATTACTCTATGTCCCAGCAATTCCACTTATAGGTATATGCCCAAGAGAAATGAACACATGCCCATACAAAACCGTGCATGAATGTTCATAACAGCATTATTCATAATAGCCAAAAGTTGAACCAACCTAAATATCCATCAAATGCCTATCAACTAATACATAAACAAAATGTGATGTATCCATACAATGGAATATTATGCAGCCATACAAAGATATGAAATACAGATACATGTCACAGCATGGATAAACCTTAAAAACATTCTGCTATGTGAAAGTGGCCAGTCATAAATGATCACATATGGTATGTTTCCATTTACATGAAATGTTCAGAACAGGCTATTTTATAGAGGCAAAAAGTATATTAGTCATTGCCTAGAGCTAGAGGGTAGGTGAGGGATGGAGTGCAGGGTTTTCTTCAGGGATGATGAAATGCTGCAAAGTGGATTGTGGTGATGGCTGCACAATGTCGTGAATATACTAAACACTGAATCATAAAAATTAAATTTCTTAATTATATATGTGGATTATATCTTAATAAGGCTGTTACAAAAAATATATGAACATCATTTTATACCTCAAGTCAAAACTAAATTGAGCTGTAGCACCGTGATTTGAAAGACATCCATGGTCTAGGGATATATCATCCAGGAGACAAATAGTAAAAAAAAAAAAAAAAAAAAAAAAAAAAAAAAAAAAGCAATTTCCCTCTGCTGGGCTCACAATTGATCAGGCCTTTATAATAGAGGTCTGTGTCCAGTTTTAATCTCTACCTTTTAATAAGGATGTGGATAAATGGAGGAGAATTCTGAGGAGTCCATCATAGTGACACTAAATTATTAGCAATTTATGAAAGAATAGGAAGGCTGTTGGTATAATTTAATCCAGAATCAGGGGGGAAAAAACAGAGCACGGCATTTGGGCAATGTAAGGGAACCAAGGGCTGTCTGCTAGGAGATAAAATCTTATCATGAGGGGAAATGACCCAGCTCTGTATCATAGCTATAGGGGATATAATTAAGTAGAGTTGGAATAAATTGAAGCCATTCAAAGTTGGAATATTATGGAATATTTTAACTTTACATTATACATCATCCTGATAGTGAGAGTAATTATTTACAGAAAGACAATAACAAGAGGACTTTAAAAACCTTTTCTAGAGACATTTAAGATCAGAAAGGACGGGTATTTTTAGGAGTTTAAAGAACATGAAAAATTCATAAACTTTTCTGTATATAAGAATATCAGGATCCCAAAAAAATACATATTAAAGGATCACGACCAGGGAAACTTCCAGGCAAAAAGAATGACCACAAAGAATTATATGAAAAGTTTAATAGTTCTTACCATTTATTTGAAGATCGGTGCATATCATTATCTTTATTTCCTATATTTTTTTCACATTTCCCATAGAATACATCAATATATTTATAGTCAACAGATACAGTGTAAAAATATATGGATGATACAGGTGAGCTGTCTTAGTTTAGGTGTTTGTGTCCTCTCTAGATAACTGACACATTTTCATCACACTTTTTCCACAGGCAAGAAATGTCTACTCCAGGAAGAAAGAAGATTATGTTAACCCCTCCCCTACCTTAACTTAGTTTTATTTTGTCTTTCTGATTTATTAGGTCTATGTGATAACACTATTATAACTGACTTTGGATTTATTATTTTTCACCAGATAGATCTTGCACACTATATTTGCTCAAATCAGATATAATTTTGGTGAGAATTCTTCATCTCTTATTTGATTAGGGGATTATACTACAGATTTTTAATAGTGAGCTATTTCACAAAGCAGGTATGTTACCACTCACATTGCTTAGGTGTATAAAAAATATACAAGGAAAAAAAGTAAATGGATTGTTTCCAGGGCGCTCTGGTTTAATTATATTGCACAATGCCTTTGGTTCATCTTTCTTCTGTTGATCTCAAAGCTACTGGCAACTCAGCTCTCCTTTACTGAGTGATTGCCATGGGCAAGTTTCTTCTCAGAGTTTCAACCTTATAGTCCCACATAACACATAAATAATTTTTTTTCAAATTAATCTAAGTTAGTAATTCAGAGTTCTTATTTGGAGATTCCAAGTAAGCAAGCCTGCTGGAGAGTAAGCTCATAAGCAAAAGGTGTGCTAAGCCTTCTCCTATATATATATATTTTTGTGTGTGTGTAACTTTCATCAACAGTCCTACTTATGTCCTACTGGCTTTTCTATATGCATTTTAAGTTTGATGTCATTAATGATGACATAATAGTATTTACTTTATATACCTTCCTTTCTCTAGAGATGTGGTCCCTAAGTAATTCGGATTTCTGAACTTCACTTCAGCCCCTATTTCTTGGATAGGACACTTGCATGCGTTTGTTTTAAAAGCTCCCTGCGTTAAAAATAACCAGGCTCAGATGACTCTATTAAGGGGTTTTGTTTATTTGTTTCCTCCATAAGCCAGAGGTTTTCAATGCTTAACTGAATACAGTCTCTGAGGAGATTTTTTAAAATGCAAATGCCAGCCGGGTACAGTGGCTCACACCTGTAATCCTAGCTCTTTGGGAGGCCAAGGTGGGCAGATCACGAGGTCAAGAGATCGAGACCATTCTGGCCAACATGATAAAACCCCGTGTCTACTAAAAGTACAAAAATTAGCTGGGCATGGTGGCATGTGCCTGTAGTCCTAGCTACTTGGGAGGCTGAGGCAGGAGGATCGATTGAACCTAGGAGGCGGAGGTTGCAGTGAGCCAAGATCGCGCCACTGCATTCCAGCCTGGGTGACAGAGCGAGATTCCGTCTCAAAAAAAAAAAAAAAAAAAAAGCAAATGCCTTGGCCTCACCCAAGGCCAATTATATTAAAATATATGCAGTGCAGTGGGAGCAGGGGAGGCAGTGTAACCAGATATTAGTGTTTTTTTTATAGAAAGTGTTGCAGGTGATTTCAAATATAGAGTGAGGTTTGAGAACTACTGCACTAGCCTGTGAATAACTTGTGACAAGGGACTTTTTATTGCTATGTCTTGATTGTCACCATTTAATATGTTCCCCTGTGTCAGCTGCTCTATAAAGGCTTGCCAAGTGATTGATGGACTGGACATCCCCTATTGTATTTGCCCATCCCTGAATCCTGAATGGCATTGACATGTGTCTGGTTCTAGATTGAGTCATGTTGGTCTTCATTTTCTTAGCACAGGTGCAGCAGTGAACAGCAGTGAGAGTCTCCCTCCATCCTCGTCTGTCAATGACATCTCCTCCATGTCCACCGACCAGACCCTGGCATCTGACACTGACAGCAGCCTGGAAGCTTCGGCAGGACCCCTGGGTTGTTGCAGGTGACTAGCCGCCTGCCTGCGAAACCCAGCGTTCTTCAGGAGATGATGTGATGGAACACACACACATACACAGACACTCACGCACACTTACAAATGCAGACACACAACATCAAGAAAGCAGCAAGGGAGGGAATCCAAGCCTAAAATTAAATCAATCTTTCAGCCTGCTTCTTCCCCAGAGTTCTGTATTGCAGCTGAGCTCAAATGTATATTTAACTTCTAGTTGCTCTTGCTTTGGTCTTCTTCCAATGATGCTTACTACAGAAAGCAAATCAGACACAATTAGAGAAGCCTTTTCCATAAAGTGTAATTTTAATGGCTGCAAAACCAGCAACCTGTAACTGCCCTTTTAAATGGCATGACAAGGTGTGCAGTGGCCCCATCCAGCATGTGTGTGTCTCTATCTTGCATCTACCTGCTCCTTGGCCTAGTCAGATGGATGTAGATACAGATCCGCATGTGTCTGTATTCATACAGCACTACTTACTTAGAGATGCTACTGTCAGTGTCCTCAGGGCTCTACCAAGACATCATGCACTGGGGTACCACATGGTCCATTTCATGTGATCTATTACTCTGACATAAACCCATCTGTAATATATTGCCAGTATATAAGCTGTTTAGTTTGTTAATTAATTAAACTGTATGTCTTATAAGAAAACATGTAAAGGGGGAATAAATGGGGGGAGCGAGCTCTCTCAGACCCTTGAAGATGTAGCTTCCAAATTTGACTGGATTAAATGGCACCTGTATACCAATTTGTAGAAAGAACATATGTGATACTTATGTAAAGTGTGGGGGGAGTGGGTAGTAGTTTTCAGGCACGAAATGGTTTGACCTTTAGGAGGCAGGTGTGAATAAAAGCTGAGAGACTTTTCTGTGACAGTGAAGAGTAGGAGAGACTGGAGAGTAGTGTGTGTTGTGGACTAAGACTAAAAGGAGGTTATTACCCAGATACTAAGAGACACTGGTATCCCTATTTTAGAGATTTGGCCCTATTCCCATTTGCCATTTCTCAATTACTGGTCACAACAAGAGGCCACTGGAGAAAGTGACAGGTGGTGAAGCAAGGTTATTGCGTGTGCTTTTGATGATAAGAATCTCTCTCTGGAACTGAGCAGAATTGCCTCCGTGTGAATTCCTTCAACAAAAAAATGAGCCTGCCTACACTGCTTTCAGGTTGTGGATTGTGTTTTCCATGTGTGGGCTGCTTCCCTGGTTCATACTCTACCAAAGTTTTGTTTTGAGAAATAATATCACTTTCCTCTTCTGAAATTTAAAAAAAAAATCAATAAGAATAAAACCCCCAAAGCACAGTGTGAGTCTCAGGTTAGCATTTTAAAACATCTCCAGAGACATTGTTATTCCTCAGGAGTTTCCCCGACTCTTTAATGTGGCTAATGTTTCATGTTTATTTATTTATTTTCATAAGTATGAGCAATCGAAGAAGGGCTGATCATCTGAGTTTTGTACTGCAGTAGATGTAAGAGCAATAACTCTGCCCATAAATTTACTGCTGCCAAATAGTTCTAGCAATATGAGTTTGTCTTAAAAGCCATGAAGCATTAATGTCAATGTTTAGCAAAATCTCCTGAATTTAGCTTAAATTAAATGAAAGTGCTTTCCTGAGCACTTAAGGAGGCACTGTGAAACATCTTGGTTACATACAAGGCAATACCAAGGTGATCTCAGCAATAATTGGTTCAGGCTTCCCTTCTTATTCACTTCGAAGTATCCATCACAGTCATTTGCACTCTGACCATGTTGGTGCTCACCAAAGTGGTGATATTTCACCTGAAGAAGTGAAAGACAGGAAGTGGATGGTTGATGAGTGTGAACTGACTGGTAAATAGAATACCCCCAAAACAGAGCAAACAAGAATGCCAGTGCTCTGAAAACTGCCTTAAATATAATAATAGGGAACTTACTTTCTCTCTTCAAGCAATAGAGTCCACAGGGAACTGCACCCACCTGCACCATCGCCATGCCAGCGGTGCTGCCATTCTGAGATTGTTTCACACAGATTCAGTACATGCGATCATTTGCTCAAAATAAAGAGAAGAACATTCCTTTGTGCAGCTTGCCCCCTGGAATAAAAATGGCCCATTTTCTCTATTTTGCTACCATTTTTGGGTTAATATTGCAGAAAACCTGATTGTTAAAAATGCCTCCTCAGTCACATGAGCTCCCTCTCTTTTCTTTCAGTCCTATTCTGTTTTTTTTTTCCAAAAACAAACAAACAAACAAACAAAAAGACCAAAACACTTCTCCTCTCTGTATCTCTAATTCTTTACTCATTTTCTTTCTCTGTACTTTTCTCTTGATATATCTGTGGCCTCCCCCCTCCTTGCCACGTGGGATTAAGTGCAGAGAGCAGGAAGCTGCTTTAAAGAGAGTCTCAAGGGGAATTTCATCAGCCCCAAGATGACATCACAACACAGAAGGAAGTCTCCAGCCAGCATCTTCAAAGTGCTTGACAGGCTATCTCTCGCATCTGCAGAAATGGTGAATTTCCCCCTCAGATTAAACCAGGCAAGAACTAGACAGGGCCCCTTCCCCGCTGTTAGTACCTTCCCAAAGCTCAGTTAGTCTTAGGTCTTCTGTGCATGGCTCTTGGGAGCTGATTAGCTTTAGCCAGATTTCCCTTATGGACAAGAGAAAAATGGAACAAATTCCTCAAATATAAGTATCATTTACAAATAGAGGTAAGGATTTGGCCCCCAGTATTTTTGCAAGATCAATTTTATTAGGTGATTAAATCAAGGTAGATGATGAAACAACAAAGAGAATCACCACTGTAAAAGCCCCCCAGTCCTTTTCCCACTAGGTCTGCTTTCCTATAATATCTCTAGGAGGTGATGATATTATCACATTCACAGAATATAGTATGTTCTGCATTCACTTATCTGTCTTGTTAACACACACACACACACACACACACACACACATACACACACACCCCAAATATTTCTTAGTCACCTGTTATTTCCCAAGAACATCCCAACTTTTCAGGTAGGCAAGTGTCAAGTCACCTGGACAATATTCCTGAAAAAAGTGACGGTCCTACCCGGGGTTGGGGCTCATTTTGGAACATGAAGTTGGCACTCTGAGGAGCCTAACCTTCCGTCACTTCTTTAGGGCAGTTGGCTGGCAGTGATTGTTAATAAAATCTTTTGCAGTGTTTTGTAGGAAGGATGGCTGTGTATTCATGCGCAGGGAGAATTAAGCTGCTGCAAGAGTTTGGCAAAACCACCACCACTTTACTATTAATATGTCTTTACTATTTTTATATGTGTTTTATGGGTCAGTGTGTTCAATTTTAAATAGGAATACTCTAGCCTTACACCGGAATTTCTTCTTGTGGAATAAAAACTGATAATAATCTTTCATCTTCAAGAATCTGATGACTGGGTTTTGTAGGAATGTACCCCACAGTTGGGCCAGAGACTGGCCAATTCCCACCAACTGGAGTAAGCTATTTAATTCAGGGCCAAGAAGCTCGATAGTTTTTCAATCTGTTATCAGAAAAATATTAGGTAAAGACACTGATAGTAGCTGACTGGTAAAACCAAAAGTTGGCCTTAGCAAATGGAACTAGTAAAAAATAGATAAAAATACATAAAACCTTTTATGTCCTGTCAAGGAAAAAAATAAGAAAACCTGATTTTTAAAAAAATTTTCAATATTCATTGCAAAACCTAAATTATACAAAATCTATTTCGATTTGAATCTCTTAACATATGAACAGCCACATCTTAAGTGCATTATGCTCTGTAAGGTGTGTTATTAGCCAGCTTTGCTGAAAAATATATCTTCTACAGCTCAGAAAGAGGAGTAAAACTGCTTTAGAAATTTTTGATCCCAGCCACTTTGCATCCAAACAAGAACCTGACTCCCCACTCACAATCCCCCACACACATTTTAATTATAAGAGTTCAACGTTTTCCATAGATATCATTAAACCAAGCAAGGAAACTCCTGTCTGTAAAAACAACAAAAAAGTTACAATGTAAATAGTTATTTTAGCTATTTTCTTTGTGATTAGAGGATAAGATTTTGTTATTTCTTTTGGCACTGAGTCCTTTAACTATCTGAAAATGGTTCACTTTGACCTGTTTCTTTGGTCAGCCAAACTGAAGTGAGGGGCCTCTGTTTATATATAGAATCTTGTATATGTAACTTTATTTATGTGGGACCAATGGCCAGTATATTCTAATGGACACAAATCTCCCAATCCTTATCTAGGAGTATCTGTTCACCTTGCCATGTCCATCTTGCAATGAGACCTAACTTGCACCTGCCTGTTTTTCTGCATGATTGGACTCCAAAGACTATTACCAATGATGAGAATTGTCCTGTGTCAGTGTTTATAAAATGGACTTGAAGCACACACACATGCATACCCATATTCACATGCACCCTTACAATTCTAGATCAACCCTGGAAGGCAAAACCATGTACGTTCAGTTTCTTTGCAAGGTCTGAGCGGTGAGGACTAAATTCAGTCAGCCTAATGGGTAAAATGCAACCTCAGTGATGCTTAATAAGGATTTAAAATCATTCACGTCATTTCTGTGTTCTTTCTCACACTCTTTCCTTTCTATTTTCTCTTCCTTTATTTTCAAAATGTCTGTGGAACAAGAGGATGAATTGGGGGAGAACTTTTGCTTCTTTTGGCTCTTTTTAGGTAATATGGAGTCTATCTATTGTGATTTCTGTTTCTTATGGATCATTAAAATCAGAGAAAACCTGCTTCTCTCAACATAAAACCAAATCCAAACCCCGACATTGTTGGAGTTTCCTGTTGACAATGGTTGTGATGCTGCTCGTTGTCTTGAGTTGCATGTACCGACAGTAGCTCTGAAGGGTCTCATGTTTTCATTTTGGCAACTGGTAAAAGAAACTTGTAGTGTGGTCTGATTGTGCCAGGGAATAAATAAGAAATAAGGAATGACCTACTTACTCACCTTGGGTCAAGAGTGTGTGATATGAATGTGACCATGTAGAAATCTGTGTTTTCATTTGACACTGGTTTCTTCTAAAAATGACCTTCATTTCTGTCTGCAGATACTAGTTGGATATCCGCAATTCAGTAATTTCTTTTTAAGGTATAAAATCAATGAAGAAAAAAAAGATCATCTTTTGGGGGGCATTAGGTAAGTAGAGCAGGGTTAAATTTCCTAGATTAATTATCAGATTCCTATTCATTTTAACTATTTTCCAAGAGAAAAGGCAAAAGCCTTTGTTTATCTACATGATATCCAACTTTACTATCTCAAACTCCCTGGAGAATTAAAAATATATGTTATTTTGTAATTGGATGAAGAGGTCACTGCACTTGCATTAGTTTGCTTTGCAGTGTCTGAACAAGGTTGAAGAGTGGCCCTTCTATTCTGTAAATAATATTTTATTTGACCAATTAACTATTAGAAAGCCTGGAAGATAAACATACACATTATTTTGAGTTATCACATTTATCCTTTTACCTAGATCCTGTTGGAAGAGAGAAAGCAACAGCCTTTTGTTATCTCTGCAACAGCATCTATCCCAGTTTAAATCACAAATCCTTACTCTCTTTTAAAGAAGTCCAGCAAAGATACCTAAAAATACCCACAGTAATAAGAAGGGAAATTGCATTCCACAAGATTATTGCTCATAAAGAGTCAGAAGGAGTTATTGGTGCATTCCTGATACCATAAATGGTTACTGAACATTTGGTATTTTTGACCAAGTTCACAGTAAGAAGAAAAAAGGGTCTTGGACTCGCTTTTCTTGAAGATTTCTTTTGGAGCAACCAACCTAGAAGGATGAATCTGCTTGCCAATAACAACACTGGGTCACAGCCAAGGCAGAGGTTTTTGACATTGCCAATTCATCACGGTGATGTTTCGTATTCGTAACATATCTTTTCTCCACGGATGTTGAAAGGCATACTTGGATGACATATGCTAATAGTGAAACACACTGAAAGTCCCACCATCACAGATCACTTTATGTTGGGAACCACTCTATGTGGCAAGTCATCTGTTCCAGTTCCAGACTAAATTTCAACTGCTCAACCATTTAGATCATTGTAGTCTGTTTAAGGCACTAAAAATGTGCTGTAGAAATTTATATTTCTCAGACACATGAAATGTGATGACACATCCATCAACAAGTCAAACACTCCTTTGAAATTTTCTACCTTATGTCAAATATTTCTTTCTTTTAAAGGCATTCCTATCCTGGTATAAAACCCAACATAAAATAATTTTAGGGAATTTAAGGAATTCAAATTTCACTTCATGGAGTACTTGGCTTTATTTCTTCACTGAACTTCTAGAAATGTTCTTCACCTGATCTTGTCTGCAGTGTTTAGACAAGAGTCCAGATCATTTGCAACTCAAAAGCAGGTACAAAATGTTATCCATCTTAAAAACCCCTCACATATTCCCTAGAAGAGTGTCCCACACATAATTTGCCTTCCATTAACACTTGTGAACACATCCTGGTGAAAATACTGTCTATGAACAATTATACCAAAAAAATCAATTTTTATAATGCAAATAATATTTTACATGCACCAAGAGGATTCATAATATTAAAGTATTTCTTTTATAAAAGGAAGGTTTTCAGAAAGCGATGGCCTATTCCTTCAATGTTAATATATTGCAAACTTGGATTTGGTGTAAATCAAGCCCTAAGAATACTGCTCTGAATTTCTAGCTTAATTTCTGAGCGACATTCTAAAGCAGTTCATTAATTTATTTCAAAAACATTTCTTGGACACTTCGGTGTAGGAGATATATATTGCATGGTCCTTAACCTAAAAAATTCAGTTAATAAATCTTTGTTTAAAAAAACTAAAGCAAATATTTTTATTTCGTTTATTTACTATCTTTTTACATATGTATTTAAATTAGTGGTGTGACTTGCATGAGTCCATTTTTATTATTTACTTAAAGCAATGAAACAAGGAGTCTGCCTCTTTCAATGGTCTCATTTTGTCTAATTATATCAGTATACTTCATGAATCAGCATAAGAGGATTTGAATATTTTCCATTACATTATAAGAGATGAAACTACTTTTAAAAATTATTTAAAATTTAAAATTTATTTTTAAAATGCATGGATGTTCTTTTCTGCATTGCAGAAAATTTGCTTTGATATATGGTTCCTTTGAGAGCTATTGGACCTGGATGCTGACTGTGTGGGGCTTGTACTTTCAGCCTCACAGTCTCCAAATTAGCAAATGGTATCACAATGGGTACTGAAGCTTCTTATATGAAGCCAAATCTTTGGAGTCTGTTCAGTCTCTGGGTGACTGTTGGAACCCTAAAATAACTTAAAGCAGAATTTGGTCATATATATTTTTTTTCTAACTGAGGACATCCCTGACCATCTGAACCAGAAATTTGACATAGAGCTGTAAATATTCACTCATTCATTCATGCAACAAATATTTATTTATCAAGCACATCAATCATCCAAGGACTGTGCTAGGTACACATAGCTGTGAGGAAGTCAGCAAATCTGCCTTCACTTGGTCTGCATTCTAGTGGAGAAGTCAGAGGTAAGTACGAAGACCACAAAGCAACTTAAATAAGGTGTGAAAGGGATGCTATTTTAGACAGTGGTCCAGGCAAGTCTCTCAGAAGAGGTGATAAGTGCTCACAGACCTGATTAAAGTGAGACAGTGAGTTATTGACATGGAGAAGGGCGTTTCAGACTCTGAAGAGAAAGCAAGGGCAGGCTCTGGAAGCAGAGCTTGCTTATATACACGAGGAGAGGCAAAGAGTCTTGTGGATAAAGCAGAATGAACAAGAGAAAGTGGGATTGTAAATGAAATTGGAGAGAGAAGCAGGGGTCAGATCATGGCAAGATCTTGAGATTTTATTCTAAATATGGGAAATGGTGGTTAGATCCGAGAAAGGAAATGATATAAGCTAAATTTTCTTTTTAAAAGGATTCCTTTGGCTACTGAGTAAAGAGGAATCTCAGGAAGAAAGATTAGAATGGGAACAAAAAGTCCATTGTAGGATAAAACATTAATCCAGGAAGACATGATAGGGCTTAGACTAGGAAACGGAGATGCTGAGAAGGATTTGAATTCTGGACCTATTGTGAAGGCAGAGCTGACATGATTTGCTGGTAGATTGATATTGTGATATGAAAGAAAGAGATCAGAAATGACTCTAGATTTTTTTTTACCTAAACCATGAGGTAAATGATAGTACAGTTGACAGAGATGGTGAACCATGGGTTAGAAGAACACTGGGGAGAAAATCATGTTTGTTTTTGGAATGTCAGTTGGAGATGTTTATTAGATGTCCCAGTGGAGGCCGGGCACGGTGGCTCACGCCTGTAATCCCAGCACTTTGGGAGGCCCAGGCAGGCGGATCATGGGGTCAGGAGATCGAGACTATCCTGGTTAACATGGTGAAACCCCGTCTTTACTAAAAATACAAAAAATTAGCCAGGCGTGGTGGTGGGCACCTGTAGTCCCAGTTACTCGGAGGCTGAGGCAGGAGAATCGTTTGAATCCGAGAGGCAGGGGTTGCAGTGAACCGATATCGAGCCACTGCACTCCAGCCTCAGTGACAGAGTGAGACTCTGTCTCAAAACAAAACAAAACAACACTGCAACAACAACAACAACAACAACAAAAATCCAAGTGGAGTAGCAGGAGCGTCTTGTAAGCTGGAGTTAAAGGAAGAGGTTGAGCTGAAACAGAAATCTGAGAAAAATCAGCTTATAAATATTATTAAAAGCCATGAATCTGTAGGAGCCCACCGAAAGACAGCACAGTTAAAGAAGAGAAAACCAAAGATAGAAATGCCTCTCACTCCAACGTACAGACATCAGAAAACAGGAGGGTATTCCAGAATGTTCAGTGAGGTAGAGGGAAAACCAGGAGTGTGCTGTCCTGGAAACCAAGTAAAGAAGGTGTTTCAAAAGAGAGGGAATGGGCAGGAGAGGAGTGTTACTGAGAAGCTGAGTAAAATGGGAACTGAAGATTCACAGTTGGACTAAATCTGTTTGAAGGTCATTGATGACCCCAATGAGAGGAGTTTCTATGCAGTATTGAGCAAGAAAAGAGTAACTCGAGTGAGTTCAAGAGGACATGTGAAGTGAAGAAGTAGAAATGGATACAGAAAATTCAGAATATTTTTTTAACAAAGTGCAGCAGAAGAATGATGTAAAAGTTGGAGATAAATGTGAGATTGAGATAATTTTTTAAAAGCTAATATAGCATGGGTAATAGTGTTGGTGGGGCCAAGACAGAAATAGCAAAATTGATAATGCAAAAGAGAAAGGGGTATTTATTTGATAGAGTAACATGCTTGCAAAGGCTGGAGGGATGGGCTCCAGTACATGGGCAGAGGCACTGGTCCTGCACAGTAATTGTAGCAGGAGGTGAGGTGGTGTGCACAGAGGCAGGTATTTTGGGAATATGGTGATGTGATGGGCATAAGTACGTACTCTTGTGGTTTTTTTGTCTCAGTAAAGATAGAAGTAAGATTGTCAGTTGAGAATGAAGAGAAGAGTTTATGGAAGTTTGAGAAGTGTGAAATTGACCTTGGAAACTGTGAAAATAAGTTACTGGACAGTAATGAAAACCATGTGAGCCATAGTTATATAAATACAAAGGAACACAGGTCAACATGGTGGTCTTTTGTCCTACAGTCATGTTTAGTTCTTTTAGGCACAGGTTAAGAGTAAGAAAAGACTAGTTTTAGTTTTATAGAGTTGCATTTTGTTTATTTTTAATTCTCAAATGAGTAGCACAGTGCTGGGTGAGTAGATAATGGGATTTGGGCATGGGGGCAAGAGAATAATCATGACAAGGAACCACAGAAGCTAAGCCGGTCAAGGAGGAGAGTAATGAAATGGGGGATGACAGTCAGTGAAAACTTACCAAGTTGGAGTGATGGTGCTAAGTAAGGGTAGTGACTAGAGAGAGAAGAAGAGATGACCACAGCGTGGCATGCTTGAAATGGAACTGTTGGCGATGCCCGCAATTAGTCATGACACAGTACGTGGTATAACCATGAGTGTGGTGGCTGATGTTCAGGCAGTGGCAGAACAAGATTTTCAAAAGTCATCAAGGAGCTGAATGGCCAAGATGGTGAATGAAGTGTATGAGTGGGGAGGGTGAATGGGTTAGGTGCTAGAATATTCAGTCAATGATAAGGAGAGATGTGCTTGTAAGAAGGTCATTAGAGAGGAAGAAGGATCAAAGGTCTGAAAGTAGCTGCAAATAGCAAAGCAAGGTCTGTTTCCCCTTCAGGCCAATAATATGCAGGTTGCAGGAGAGGAAAACAGCTGGGCTTGAGAGAGAGGTCTGCAGGGAAAGTGGCGTCTTCAGGAGGCAACCATTATTCAGAGAAGAGGACATAGGTGATGACAGCTGTAAGATCTAGAGGGGATAATGGAAAAGTCTTAGGCAGGGGGAACGCATTGGAGATAGAAGCAAATGAGAGAATACACTGGGCAATATGGGGATAAGCAAATAGATGAAGGAAAAATGGCATGGGAACTTGGACTATTTTGGCAACAGGTAACCAGCGATGAGAGCAAGATGGCATGACCCTGGGGATCACTTCAGTGTGGTGCATAATTAATCTAGTGAATCATGAGGGGGCAGGGAACAGGGAATGGGAGTGTGGAGAAGAGAGCGCTGGGATGGACGTCCTCTATTCACAAGAACGGGTGGGATGATCAGGGCCTCCCACAGAGGTAAGAGACAGTTTTGCTCAAAGAAAATGATGCCAGTTTGGTTTGCCCCTTAACAATTCAGTGTTCTCCTGTTGCCCTTACTTTCTACTTAAGAAAAGGCTGCCTCACTGTGGCTTATCCCTCAAGAGGCCATACAGACAGCAGCTATACAGAAGTTCATAAATAAAAAGTATCATTCAGCCCTGGACCTGAGCCACAAATGGTGCTTTAAAAACCACACTTTTCATCAGCTAAACTTTTTACTCAAAGATCTACAGTAGTTTCAGTAGATTTTAGCTGCCTGGGGAACTGTTAGTTCTCCAAGTCACTTCAGAGCAAGAGGCCCTTAAGCTGGGCAGTTCTAACTTGCAACTCATTCCCCACTTGTGCAGTTAAGAAGACTACTAAGAGAATAATGAAACAGACCTTTGGGACCCACAGTTCCAGCACTCCTTTCCTGTAGTTTGTGAGTTCAAACAAGGCAAAATGTTTCCAGCTCTGGATGCTTTCTTTGAATAAGAGAGTAGCAGCCACGTGGGTACTAAGTGTTTTCAGGTCTCATGGTGTGCTGCTAAAGTGTTATGCACAATGCCATCTTGATGGCATGAACTGGGTAGGTCATGCTTATTTTATTGAAAAGGGTCTGCCGTGAAGGCACATTTGCCATGCTGTTCCATAGGCTAGGAAGGCCCCTTACCGAAACTGCAGCTCTGTCTCATGACTTCCTACTCGTCTTTCAGGACTCACACCAAAGTCATGGCTCTGCAGTGCTCTCCTCAGCTTCACCTTTATGGTCTCTTTAGTTTCTTCTATAGCACATCATATAACGTGACAATAACTAAATTTATGTACCCAGGAGGACCTAGTCCATAGCGCTCAGTTTAGTCATCATAGCCCTTAGAAACATTCATTGTATTTTATCCGACACCTTTAACACCCAACATCATCTTCAGTGTAGACATGCATAGAGTTGATGAAGGACAGTTATACGTAGTTGTTTAGACATGATTTTCAGATCATGGATGTAATTGCACCATCTCAGAAAGAAAGAGTGGTTTGGGTTACTTTCCTTGCCATCAATCCCTGGTAGATTATCTGGGAACAGATGAACTTAAGAGTCTCTGAGACCAAGATATAATTATATCCTGTGCTGGTGACCATGATACTTTTACTGCTGGTCAAATCCCTGAGGCCAGAGCCTTGCTATGTTCCTTAGAAGCTGAAACACTCTTTCAATAGAAATAATTTGAGGGCTGATAGTTTCTATTTAGTGAGCATTTACCATGTCCCAGGCACTCTGCTAATCCCTTCATCTACTGTACTACATTCCTCATAAAAATATGATAAGGGAGGAACTATTAACCCTACTTCCAGAAAAAAAAAACAAATTTAGGCTTATATATATTACATAACTTAAGTTCATAAAGCTATGAGGTGGCAGAGCGGGGTTTGAACCCTGGTCTTAGATTCCAAAACTCATGCATGTGGTACTCTAATCAGAGTGCAGCTCTGCAGTGTAAGGAACACTGGGGTTTGTGGAAAGCATCACATTCTTTAATGCTCTCCTGAATCCTCAAGATGTTGTAATTATATCAATAATATAAACTACCCAGCCTGGGAATGATTTTTTGAAGGACATCCCAGCTTGAGAATCAATGGGAATAATTACTTAAGCTCTACTTGGAGTTTTTAGTCATTTCATAATGTTACATATAAAATCATGTTTCAGTGGAACTGACATCATAGGTAATTCTGTCTTAAATGTTCTCCAAAGGATACCCAGACATCTAGTTTGAATAGCGATGCTAACACAGTAGGCTCCACATCTGCAAGCAAATCCTTTATCCTGAGTTTATAACTTAAGATTCATTTTAATTACCTAAATAGTTTTAAGAGGCACATACAGGCTGCAGCAAATGAAATCTTGATATTACTTAACTACTTTGTATCCTTATTGATTTCCAATTTATTCTTATGTTAATTACAATTAATATTGTCTAGGCTTTTTGTTTAACTAATGGAAATCCAGATGAACATGCTGCTCGTGGTATCCATTGATTAGTGCCATCGTCACTGAAATTGACAATTAAAATTGACAATATCATCCCTCAAATATTACAGGCCACATAACATATGTGTGTGTTTGTGTGCATTGCATTCCCAAAAATTACTGCAAACTCACCGTGCTGGCAGTCTCTTTGGCATAAGGCATGAAGGGATTTAAGAGCAAGAAGATACAATCCTGGCCTCTTACGAAGCTCCATTTATCAATGGAGTTATCAACGGAGTTATCAATGGAGCAAAGTGAGAGGCACTGGGATAAGCACATTACATACCACCATTAACCACGGCAACATCCCTACTTTGTTGGCGTTATTATCTCCAGCTTGTAGATGAGATCAGACAAGTCAAGTTACATGGTATTGCCACGTATCTTGCATAAGGCATGTTGAGAGGCAGATCTAGGTTTGAATGGCTCTCAATTTTCTGCTATTTCCACTTCACCACTCACCCTCCTAAATTGTTTATTATTTGGTGAAGAAAATAATCCAATGTGGGAAAGACAGAAAGATATATATGCAAATTGGGGCACAAAAAGCAACTAACACTGCTTTGAGATTCTGGGAAGCTTCATGAGGAAACTGACATTGATTTGGCTCTTAAAGGATGTTTGGAGTGTGCCAGCTAGAAGGAAGGCATCAAGAAGGACACAGCAATAGCAAGTGGAAAGTTCTAGAGGCATGAAATGGTATGGCAGGTGCGGTGTGAAGTGGTAGGAGACAAGAATGAAACTGGAGGTAGGGCCTTTTACACTATGTGAAGGGCTTTGTCCTGGGCAAGTGACAGTCATCATATGTAATTAGCAAGATCAAGCTTTGGTCAAACGAATAATTTCAAAAAGGTAACCTGCAAAGGACAAAAGTCCAGGAGAGATGCTGGAACAAAAGGCGCTGGGTAGGATGCCTTCATCAAAAGGTAAGGGAAAAGTGGTTAAAGAGAGCAGATTAAAAAGGCAAAGATGAGTGGAACAGACTAGCTGGTGAGCAAATTTATGAGTGAAGAATGAGGTAGAAAAGAAAAATATGAGTTGGCTGGGCGCGGTGGCTCGCGCTTGTAGTCCCAGACAAATTAAGTGACCCGTCATTGCCATGCATCCTGCATAACTTTTGGGAGGCTGAGTGGGGCAGATAGCTCCAGCCCAGGCATTTGAGACCAGCCTGGGCAATATGGTGAAACCCTGTCTCTACAAAAAAATACAAAAATTAGCTGGGCATGGTGGCATATGCCTGTAGTTCCAGCTACTTGGGAGGATGAGGTGGGAGGATCACCTGAGCCTAGGGAGGTCAAGGCTGCAGTGAACCATGATCACACCACTGCACTCAAGACTGGGTGATAGAATGAGAGAGTGAGACTGTCTCAAAAAAAAGAAAAAAAAAAAAAAAGAAAGAAAAGGAAAAAATATGAGTTAACATTTATGGAGTCCTTTTTGTATTTTACTAGCAGCTGTGCTCAGCCTAACCCAAGCTATCTCATTAAGACCACATAACAACTCTATGGGAGTATTATTTTTATTATTCCAATTGCACAGAGGAAAAATAAGTTATGCATGGAAGGTTCAGTAGTAACAGCTGGCAAATTGTAGACCATTGGAATCCAAGCAGTTTGAATGAATATCTTTGTGTTTTACTAGTACATCATATAGCTTTCTGGATGAGTCTGAGGTTTTTATCAACTATGATAAGGACTGGAAATAGGTGAAAAGATATGAAGGGAGAGTTATTAAGATCAATTTTCACATTTTGAGTTTGAATTTCCTATCGTGTTTCCAGGTGGAAGTAACTGGTTAAATAATTGAAAGACAGAGAAAAGGGAATTAAAGAAGTTATTGCTATAAAGGTACTGGTTGATACCATAGGGCCACAGACACTTGCTCAGTGGGAGGGTAAAAATAAAAGCAAGACAGTGGCAAGGATGACAACAGTACAGACCACTTTCCCTCTTGAAAATAAATAAGCACATGCAAGCATTCAACCTTCAAACAACGCAAACCCCATAAACTCGAGTATGCAGTCTTTATTTCTTATTTTGACTTTTGTAACTTTCTGTTCTACTATGAGAAAGATTATTTGCCTGGCTTCTCAAAACCATTGTCTTATTGTGAAGAACTGTTCTCCCAAAACTCTAGCTCCAAAGAGCCCTGGGTTTTTCTAGAAAATTAGCATTGCTGAGGTTCCCATATTTGCCAAAATTGGAACTTTAGGCATTCATCTTTTAAAATTATTGTATATTTTCAACAGGAAACACTGATACTGTCAAAATTAGAAGCAAAACAGTTTGTTCCTTCCAAACTTTTCTTCTTCTCCTCCTGCACCCTGGCCCCCTCCCACCAGCTTCTTGCTGCAAACCAACTTTGCCAACTGTAGTAGGGAGAGAATCCCAGATGGCAATAGCCTGAGTGAGAAAAAAATGTCACTACGTGACACATACTCTAGCAGTTTCACTCAGAGGGAAACAGTAATACCATTTCACTGCTGGTATTCTGCCATTCAAGTGCCATTGTTGGGAGGTGGGAGAGGTTTGAGTGGGAGACAGGTGCTCACATGGGCATGGTTTAGCAAGCATTGTTTCCCAATTCCTAAGTAGCAGGAAGAATTCCTCTACAGCTATCCAGCAGTTAAAGAGATTTAGTCCAGAATGACAGAGTAATTCAAAGCCTGAATGGTTAAATGCCATTCTTTACCATTTTTTTCTTCTCTAAGGAGCATCCTGCATTGGTGATACACACCAAGGATCTGGCAAGGTAGACAGTGGGCCTCAGAAAGGGACTTTCTCATGGAGTCTCAAAGTTCCTAAGTCAAATCGTCTGGCAAAGGCAAAACTGAGTGATGCCAGGGGAAGAATTTTAAAAGCAGCTCAAAGGTTCCTGGTGATTCGACTGTATTTTATAAAAGTATTTACATTTCTCTTTTTGGTCATGACAAAGTCTATTGGCACAAACAGCACAGCCACGAAGTATTCTTCTGATTTTAATAACTCATATATTTATATATATATATATTTATATTTTTGCTTATCTTCATTTCCTCAGCAAAAAGGGAAATAAAAATATTGATCTATAAAATAAGCTGATGATAACACAATGCCAAAAATAGCTTATGTTAAGTGCAAGGGGTGAAGCTTGAAAGCAAGCTAAATTGCAACAACATATTGATTTAACATTTTAAATACAAGACTTGCAATAAAATAATTCTTGAAATATGCTTCTCATTTTTAGTTGACTTTTGAAAAACTACTCTATATACACATATCCAGTTGTAACACTTGACAGTAGCATTATGGGGCATGACATAACTTTGGTACACATTGCAGATATGGATGGTTAATGTCTGTAAATGATATTCCTTCACCAGTTAGACTTCTGTACATCCAGGTGACCAGCCACCTGGTTCTAAGTCATATCCCACCAGAATCCCTGGAGTCCTTGCCAGAGCCATTGGAGACGGCAGGCGAAAGCAGGCTCACTGGATCCATATTGTGTTTCCTCTCTCGGTTCTCCTGGGTTCCACTGTCAGTTCTCCAAATGTGGAAAAAAACTGCTCCATTTCTTTCTGTAGCATGTCATTTCTTTTCTCAGCATCTTCTTTTGCTCGCTCGGCATTTCGCATTTTTATTTCTATCATTGTGAACTTTTTCCTCTCCTGATCCAGTTCATCATGGAGGCTCATCATTTCTGTTTCCAAAGTCAAGTTTCGCTGTTCTAAGCTACAGAGGATGTGGGGGTGGGGGTGGGGGTGGGAGGGGGGCGGGCGGGGAGGCAAGAGTAAGAGATAAAGTGATTTTATTCACTTGAAATGCAAGAGGCATACAAATATTTTCTAAAGTCTATGATGCTTAGGAAATTGGAATAAAGCCCTTTCAATGATTTAAAAGATGTAATTTTGTTTTATTATTTTACTATTTGCTAAGACGATTTACTGTCAGTTTAGTAATTAGTCCCAAGGCCTCTCTTATAAGCAGCTGTCATTTAATAGAAAATAAGTGAATGCCAGCACAGAGAAACGAGTGACACATGCTGGAGAGAAGAGACAGAAAGCTTCCTGGACGTTAAATTGTAAACTTGACTATACTAAATGCAGCGGGGAAGTCTGATAAAGTTGAAAAAACAAAACAAAACAAAACAAAACAGGGGGCCATAACATTTGCTTTCTATAAAAGGAAAAATAGTGACAGGAAAATGTCATTGTTGGTTAAGTTCACCGCTAAGAATGGGGTTTTTGGAAGCATATAGAGTCCCATCTTGTAAAAGAGTACCCAGAGTAGTGAGCTTACATTGATACGAGAGGTAAAGATCACACGTGTTGAATAAGCACTGCATCTTATATTTTGTAAAAATAAAGCCCATTCCTTGCTATCCCCAATTCTCACTGCTTCCCAAGTTATTAATATAGCTTAGGACATAGGTATTTTATATCTGTATAAATTGATAGTTGTTTTGTACAGCTGTATTAATAGCTTTTGGATAATTGTAGAATTCACAGTAACGTCTTTAAAAACAGAGACTGTTTTCTCCATAACCACTAGGATCCAAATCTTACACATACATTATTCAAAAGAGGTGTATTTTGGTCATGGCTGACTTTTTAATTTCTCCTGTTCTGAGCAAAAGTCCTGTGGGACTCATTCAAATTTACCAAGCCAGCGAAATTTGAAAGATTAATGCATGTGTAGCTCTCAGAAATCTGATTATTTTAATAACAATTTTAAAATTAAAATCTCAATTATATTTCTACTTTGAAAAATTTGATCCCCACGTGTTCATATTTCACCCAAATAAGAACATTTAAAAATTAATCTTCCTTCTCTTTGTAAGCAACTAGAATTTTAAAAATATAATACTTCATATTTTGCAATCTTACATCATTTAGAAGGCTATTTTAAACATATGACCATATTTTTACCTGAAAATTTGGTACTATGCTGGTTGCCACTCAGAATTATTCTACAATGTATTCTCTTTGCTTTCCAAAGCTATTTTAGAGCCAAAATGTTGGAAGAACTTGAAGTTGAAATACTGAGAAAGACAACCGTTACAAAACAATATATTGACACGTTTGCATGTATCAGGTGCTTGTGTGAAACTTCCAGGAATGAAAAGGACTAAGTTGAATACAGAAGAAATTCCTCCCAATGTAAACATTTAAAAGTGCTGGAAAATTTTTAAGAAATATATTTTAAAAATACATAATCAAGGTTAAAATAAAAGAGCGGCTCCAGGTATCAGAACCAAGGAAGAAACTGAAATATAGAACAACAAGTAGAAGCACACGAGGGCTATTAGTCTTGGATAGAGGCCACAGAGCTTGGGGCTAGGATATCCTTTTTCACATGAGGACAGAAGATGAGGCCTCCAGTATTAGGCAGGCAGAAAACTACAAGTAATTTAACTGAGAGCTTGGAACATCAACTGTTTTTATGAAGAAGAGACTACAAAATCTCTAATCATGGGCCTGGGGAAGTATCAGAATGGAATTAGCACATCAGAGTATTAGTAAGCTACAAACCAGGTCTGAGAAAAGTTACCTAGAATGCCTCAAAAATGATAATTATAGAAATTTAATATGGGGAAAAAGAAGTTAACAAAGAAGGAGGACAGATTAACAAGGTCAAACATATCTTAATAAGGGTTCTGGAAAGAGAAAATTGAGAAGGTGGGGAGATGAAATAGACAAAAAGATGATGAAAAAAAATTCCAGAATTGTAAAGATGTAAGTTGTTAGATCAAGTGATGAAACAAAGTTTGAAAGTTAAATAAGGGAAAAGACATATCAGGAAGTTACTAATCAAAGGAAGATGGTATGACAATATTAATATCAGAAAAAAACGGACTTTAAGGTAAAAAGCATTATTATAATGAAAAATAAGCACTAATGAATGATAAAAGGATCAATTCTTCAGGGAGCTATGAATAACTCTAAACTTCCATGCACCTAGTAGTAGTCTCAAATTGTTCAATATAAAATATGACGAAGTTATAAAAAGAAACTGATAAACTCAGAATACTGCTAAGAAATTTTTAAATATCTTTCTCAAAAATTATAGATCTAGCTGATAAAAATGAGGAGAAATGTAGAAGCTTTGAATAGCCTGATAAACAGACTTGAGCTCTTGGTCATATATAGAATCCCAATCCAGTAATAAGGGAATAGTTTAATAGACCAAATGATTAATATCATTCAGATGAACGTCTCTGATCACAATACAATATTTTCTAAGAAAATTAAGTTAGAAATTGGCTGAGTACAGTGGTTCACGCCTGTAATCCCAGCCCTTTGGGAGGCTGAGGTGGGTGGATCATTTGAGGTCAAGAGCTCAAGACAAGCCCAGCCAACATGGTGTAACCCCCGTCTCCACAAGGAAAAAAAAAAAATTAGCCAGGCATGGTGGCACACATCTGTAATCCTAGCTACTCAGGAGGCTGAGTCAGGAGAATCACTTCAACCTGGGAGGCAGAGGTTGCAGTGAGCCAAGACTGCATCATAGCACTCTCCAGCCTGGGCTACAGAGTGAGACTCTGTCTCTAAATAAATAAATAAATAAATAAATAAAAAAAAAAAAAAAAAAAAAAAAAGAAAGAAAAGAAAAGAAAGAAAAAGAAACCAATTTGGAGAGGGAAAAAGAACACATCTTTCAAAACTAAAAACCATGTATCTCATTGATTGATAATTAAAATATTATCTATCTGTCTACCTACCTCCTATTTATTTACCTACTATCTATCCATCTATCCATCCATCCATCCACCCTTAATACCTGTGGGGTAAAGCTATAAAGGAATTTAACATATATCTCATTGATAATTAAACAAAGTAAAATATTATCAATCATCTATCATCTGTCTATCCATCTACCTACCTATCTATCCATCCATCCACCTTCAATGCTTGTGGGGTAAAGTTACAAAGGAATTTAAAGAAAAATGAATAACTCTAAACAGAAATGATCAAAATTTAGCCAGAACAGTTAACTTTCTATAATTTCATGGCTAGGCCACGAGCGGTCCCCCACCCTACCCTACTGCAGACCTCTCCCTTGACCTGTCACGAGGGTAAGAATGTGACAGTGAAATGGCCCATTGAGATGACCTCTATTGGGAAGTTCTATCAGCTTATCAAAATTTCTGAAATATACCATAGATCTCAGAACAAATATGCATCGGCAACATCCTCAGAAATGAATGTATCCATCAGCAAATTCATAATGATAACTTTTTTCTTTTTCTCCTACATTTAAGGTGTGACCCCTTGCCTCAAAATATAAGCTTCCCAGTGTGAAATGCTAATTTATCATCATGGATTAGCAGTAATTCAGAATTCCAATACATAGTGGTTCCAAAAACTACATTCAGAAAGAATAGTAACCCTTTAAGATGATGACCCTATATTTTTATTTAAATCTCCTGTCACTCTGCATTGTATAGAAAAATTCAAACCAGAACTCCACTCGGTGAAATTTACCAAAAGAATACTTTCCATGGAAGTAATTTTTCAATCTCATTTATAAGTACTATTTTTTAGTATTTATTTTGCCATAGCTTCTGAAAGTATGTTATCTTTTTGTCTGATAACTGATAAATGAATAGGAAACATGCTAAGGTAAATTAAAGCCACCATAACAACTGACTGAGGATCCTAGCACACCATGGAGGAAGGGTTGCCCAAATCACACAGCCTGAAACTGGGACTAAGACTGCTAGAATAGCTACTCCTACTTTGATCACTTTATGAGAAGATGCACATTGATATAATTAGGTTTTAGCATAATTGCCTCTTTATAAATCATAGTTTTTCTTCCTCATTTAGGCTCAGTCTTCCTTGTTCATGTGAACACACTTCACGTCACCCCTCTTCTCAAAAATCTCCATGGATTTCTATCTCAGAGTAAAAGTCAAAGGCTGAAAATGAGCCTGTCAATCCTCTGTCACCTGGCTCTTATGGCCTCTCTGAGCTCATCTGAATCCTCAGGGTCTGGAACATAGACTGGCAGATGGAAGTCACTCTCTCAACATTCAATGATTGAAAGAATAAACATGGAGGTTTATTTACTTCTACTTTTATTTTTACCCTAGTTTCATCCTTCTCTTGTTAGTGAAAACTAACAGCCTCCTAACGCTCTGTCCATCTCCTCACAGCCCCTCTCCTTCCAACCCTCTAATGCAAATCTATCTATTTAATAATAATCAAAGATGACATTTTTGAGCCTATTCTGTACCAGGAAAATATTCAGTCACTTCTTATGTGCTTTTGAGGTAGATACTACTAGTATTTAAATTGTTTACATTAGGGAATCAAAGCTCACAGAGATGAAGCTAACTTGCACAAAGTCACAAAGCTCATAAATGGTGGAGTGAACTTGGGTTTGTTTGACTTTGGAGCCAGCATATGTCACCCTCAGTGTGATCCCATCCCACAGTAGGAGGCTACTGAACCTTCTCTGGTAGTTACGACCTCCAGATTTTCCTCACCTCTTTATCCTGGACTCATACTCTATCTTCTGTTTGGTCATTTCCTGTTTCAGGCTGGAAACTAAACTGTGCAGTGCACTGTGGTTGCTGCTGCTGTTACCAACAAATGTCTCACTGTTGTCACTGCTGCTGGTGGCACGACTACTTCGACCTCCCACACTCCTATGGTCACTTTTGCTTTCATAGTCCCTGGGGTGGGAAAGGTCTTCCTGTGGGGGCCCATCCAAAACAGGGTCCTCAAAGTTCCCCCCATAAAAGTCTTGCTCTGGACAGGTGGTGGTGGAAGAGCGACAGGAGTTGGAGTTCTCAGGGAGGGAGATTTCACAGGAGGAAGTGGACCAGGTGGCGCTGTCGATGCTCTGCTTGTCATCAAGGTTCATCATGGAGAACTGTTGATGGACGTTATCGTAGGTGGACAGTCTGTTGTGCTGGCCTGACTCTCCAGCTTGTTCTTTCTGCTTGTTATCCCTCAGGGTCACATAGCCATTTGGCAGCCAGCTCATGTTTCGTCCATTTGCAGGGTTCCCGTGTGTGTCGCTGTTCAAAATGCCCATGCGCACCGTTCCATTCTGTACACTGTGCGTGCCCATTTTGGTACCAGATCCCTTCAGTGAAGAGGTCCTTCTAGACTGTAGGCTTCCATTGGGGGTGGTTTGCGCTTTCTCAAGACCTTCTGCATTACTGCTGCTGAAGGACCCATTGGTAACTATCCCACTACCCTTATTAAAGGCTGGGTTCTTTTTGACCATGAGAGGGGGGCTTCTAGACACATCTAGCTTGTGAACGCTGTTCCTTGGGCTGTTGGTTTTGCTGCCTGATAGAGCTGTGGGGGATCCATTGTCCATGCTGCTTCTCTGGGGAGACTCAGACTTGTCCCAGGAGCACTGCCTACCAGGGCTGTTCTTGGTGTTATTGTTCTCCTTGTTCTGTAACTGCCCCGTGGTGGCTTTCTTTTGAATTTCATTGTTGTTGTTGCTCACTCCATCTTGGGGTTTGCTTTGTAGTTCTGCATCTTTGGGAAAGAGGCAATCATGTTTGCTAATCATCATTGACATCAACTGCTGGACCACCACGGTGCCTAGAATTGCATAGAACATAAAGTAGCATGAGTGAGACAGTTTTTATTTATTTCTATTTCAATGTGACTCTTAAAGAAACATATTCAAGTGAAAATTCAGCAGTACCAAACCATATTTTTAACTATGATAACAGCAATAGAAGCTAAAAGAACTTGAGCATTTACTCTGTGCCATGAACTGTGTCAAGCACTTTGCTCTTGTAATTTAATTGAATTTTGAAACAAATCTATACATATATATTGTTATTATCACTGTATTATAAAGGTTCAGTAACTTGATTAAGGTTACATGTTAAGGACCAGACCCAGGGCTTGATCCCACAGTTAATCATTAAAAACCTGGGCTCTTAATCATAATACAATATTTATTACAAATTTGACATTTAATTCTGAGAAATATTTCTTAAGAGGAGGTCACTGTGACCTCTCAACTAATAATTGCCTCAAACTATCAAGATACTTTAGTGGTATCTGTAAATGGAACCCGATACAATCAGGGTGGATGCATGGTTTCTCTAATGTATCAAGATAATGAAATCCATAAGACGTTTGTTTGCCATTCAAAAGCTTTAGGGCATTTTAAGTGACATCAGCCAGAATGGTGTAGTGAAGACCTCCAAAAATCCTCTTCACCATATAAGCAACTAGCAAAAATTTCCAGAATCAACTATTTTGGAATCCTGTAAATTAACTAATGGCTTGATGCAATCTGGAGAGTGTTTACTTAAGAAAAATGGCGGAATGTCAGTAAGAGCAGCAAGGTCTGTGGCATTTTAACTTGCTCTAATCTTATCCTCCTCTCCTTGAAAACCAACAGCCCACAATCACAAAGAAAACCAGCCATCTGGCAGCCACTGGAATGGGCAGAGCAGGGTTGGATTTTAGTTAGTAAATATAGTTTCTATATAAAATACTTAAAACTTGAGATTTGGTGAAGAAAATGATGAAAAAAGGCTTTTGACAATGCAGAATTTCATTAAAACAGCAGCTAATTGAGAGGTTGTCAGGGAGTAGAAACCTGACCTGGGGCAAGACCACTTTTTAGCTTCTGGTGACACCTGGGAAATATAATTCAAAATCAGATTTTGAATAGGAAAAATCATATTGTATTCATTTATATTCTACACACTTTTCCTGCGATGATTAAAAACTTATTAATATTTTAGACTGCATATCAGCAATAAGCAAGATCTACTGCTACATCAATGTTATTCAGATTTTGAAGTTCATAAAAATTACCTGGAGATCCTGTTACAAGGAAGATTGAAATTCAGTAGGCATAGGGTGGAACATGAGATTTTGCATTATAAACCAGCTTCCAGATAACATCAGCAATAATAGAATAGTAGCGCTGGGATCATCTGGAAGCTTGAAAATTTCAGCACCCAATGCAGAGCTTCTGAATCAGAATCCTGAGGTGATTCCTGGGTGCATTACAGTTTGAGAAAACTGTAGTAGATGCAAATATTTCCCTTATATCTTCCAAATTAAATTTCTTGGAAGTCCGAAAGATAGGATTCATTTTTTTTTTTTTTTTTTTTTTTTCAGATGAGAAAATTGAGGGTCAGAGAGGTTAAGCTATTTGCTCAGGGCACAGAGACGATGTGATTAGGGTGGAATGTAATATTTAGTCTTATTCCAAATTATGCATTTGTCCTAGTATATTTCAGCTGCTGCAATTTAAAACTGTAGCAGTAATAAGTAAACTTGGGATAGTTTTAAAGATAAAACTAGATAAAGATAAATATCTATTGAATTACCATCAATCATTACAGAATTGTGAAAAAAGACTGAAAGTAACAATTCGCTGTATTACACAGCCTTCTTTTCTCTTTTAGTAATCTACGAATTTGTCATCATATTTTCCATGCATGTTAGCCATGGATCTGATAAAAAGGATTTTAGAGCAGTTAGAATAACACTGTCAAACTTGTGTACTGTGCTTGAAGACATTGTGTATTCAATGCTATTTTACTATTTGCCCATATGCAGACACACTTTTAGAAGTTTGCAGTTTCCATTATATATGACCCTGTCTAGTATTTTGGGAAAATGGGCCTTTTTCCTATCATTGGAATGTTAACATTTGAAGTATCACTGCTTCCCGTCATAGCTATGAACTCTGTGGGCGCATGTAATTAATTGAAGAGCAACATCCCTAAGGCGTCCATGATGAGTCAGTGAACAGCCATGTCAAAGTGTACTTGCCACAATTATGGAGTATGAGTGTCAGGTCCCTAGATATTTAGAAGTCTCTTTTGTATCTTGGGAAGCTTTGATTCCATCTAGTCTCTGGGACAATAAATGGCCATAGCCCCTTGTAAAGGGACTTTCTTAGAATTTTTATAGCCGTTCAGGACAGAGTAACACGGTAGTAATGATGATATGTGTACCACTAAACACACTATCATTTTTTCCTTTTGATTTGCTGTCATTTTCTTCTTAGAATACCAGTGAGGAACATGAAGCCCAGACAATGAGGTCAGAGTGGTTATAATCACCAGCCCATTCTGAAGAGTCCAAGCAGATTCTGGAGTTCCACGGTGCTACACGATCCAGCAATTCTTCCCTGAACCATATAATTTTATCCAGGTTGACTCTAAATACCACATAATTGGCACTTTCCATCATAAGCATTGGCTAAAAATTTCATTTTTCTTTTAAAAACCTAGGGACTTTAAATATAATATATAAATGCAAAAATACATGCAAATGACAGTATTCTGTGCAATATAGTTTCAATTTGTATTTTTTGCAATGAATAACTTTGTACATGTGTCATTTTGCATGTTTGAAGATATCTGTAAGATACCTGATGATTTTTGACAAATGTATATACTCCTGAAAATACCACCTAATCATGATATAGAAAAGTGACACTTAAGCCTCTTTGGAGTCAGTTCCCTCCCCCTAACTCTGGCTCATAGCATCCTTTATACGCTTTCTGTCTCTATAGTTTTGCCTTTTTTACAATTTCATATAAATGGAATAATACAGTATGTAGACTTTCATATCTAGGTATTTTCCACTTAGTATAATAATTATGACATTTATTTGTGTTGTTACATGTAGCAGTTCGTTTTTTTTATTGTCAAATAGTATTAATTGCTGTAGATGTGCCACAATTTATCTATTCACTAGTTGATGGAGAATTGGCCTGTTTTCAGTTTGGGGCTAATATGAATAAAGTCGACATGAACATTTGACTCCAAGTCTTGGATGAACATATGTTTTCTTTTTCCTTGGGTAAACGTTTAGCACATGACTCTGCTGGGTTTTATGGTTACTGCATATTTAAGTTAATAAGAACCTACCTAATTCTTTTGTGAATTGGCTCTAACATTTTGTATTTCTACCAGCCAAACTTGGTATATTTTCAGTCTTAACTTTACACTTGGTAAGAAATGTGTAGAGACATCTTATTATGGTTTACATTTTAGTTTTTCTAATGACTAAAGACGCTGAGCATCTTTCTGTGTATTATTTGCTATTTGTTTATCTTCTTTGATGATGTGTATATTTCAAATCTTTTGCCATTTTTTTTCATTGAGTTGACTGTCTTGTTTTGCATGAGTTCTTTACATATTCTTAAAACAAGTTATTTATCAGATATGCGACCTGCAAATGTAGTCCCCACTTCCAAAAAGGCTTGACTTTTTGAAAAGTGTCAATGTTGACAAAGTCCAACTTACTAAATAATTTTTTAAATAAATATTTTTATAGTTAGAGCCTTTTGTGTCCTAAGTGTTGACTAGCACAAGGTCATAAGATGTCTTTAAAAATATTTTCTTCTATATATCTTATACTTTTAACTCCTACATTAGGGTCTGTGATCCATTACAAGTTTTTTGTATGTGATGTGAGGTAAGGATTGAGGTAATTTATTTATATTTTTTAGGGCTATGAAATTGTTCCAGCATCATTTGGGGAAATGACCATCCCCTTTCCATTGAAATACCATGGTATATTGATCAAAAATCAAATGACTACACATATTTCTGGACTATCTGTTCTATTTCATTGATCTGTGTGTCCATCTTTATATCAATACCATACTTTTAATTATGTGTGGCTTTATACTAAGTCTTGAAATCAAGTTGTGTATATTCAACTCTGTTATTTCCTTTCAAATTGTTTGGGCTATTCTAGATAGCTTTTACTTCTCTGTAAAACTTATAATCAGATTGTCAATCTCTACAAATAAAAATTCTGGTGGAATATTTTTGTGACAATTATATTGAAACTATAGGTCAATTTTGGAAAAATTAATAGCTTAATAATATTGAGTATTCTAATACATGAGCAGGGTATATTTCCCCATTTATGTAGTTCTTATTTGTTTGTTAATGTTTAGTAGTTTTCAGAGTGTGTCTTATACATGCTTTCTTAAATTTCTGCCTAAATATTTTAAATTTATGAGTGTTGTTCTAAATAATAATTTTTATTTCAATTTCTACTTGTCCAATGTAGTATATAGAAATAAAGTTTTATAAATTGACTTTGCATTATGTGATCTTTACATATTTGCGTATTAGTTATATTAGTTTTATTTGACAATTACATAGAATTTTCTACATAGAAGTTCATGTTGACTGTTCATGTTGACTGTTTTACATATTCCTTTCCAATTTTATACCTTTTATTTATTATTACTGGCTAAGATTTCCAGTACAATGGAAGTGGTGTGATAAGGTAAACTTACCTTAAACCTGATCTTAGAGGAAAAGTACTTGGTCTTTTATCATTAACTATGGTATTTTAACTACATTTTTCTGAGATAACCTTTGTTAATTTGAGAAACTTTAAAATTTTTTTATCTGCATCCACGATGTTTTTTTTTGTATCTTAAAGTGGTGTATTAATACAGTGAATTACATTGATTGATTTTATATGGCTAACCAACCTATCTTCCTGGGATAAACCCCACTGGTGCTGATTTATTATCCTTTTTATATGGTGAAGTCAATCCAGTAAGGTTTTGTTTAGGATTCATATGTCTA